AATATGCTGTCGCCTTTTTTGCTAATAGCCGAAACGCGATTAAACTTTACTTTTTCAGACGGAGACATGTTTCATAAAAAATTATAAAATTATTAGTAGCATGTTAGATCACTACTAAACTAAATGTTAGATTGCTACCATTACACCGAAGGGCCTACTAGTACATTCGAGCCTTGTGGCATGCACTCTTATAGTGCACGACGGCGTACCAAACCCCGACCTCGCCAGACGCTATCAGTATCCTTTAAATTCGCCCGCAACAGCTCGGTTGTGACTTGCGGCTGCGTTAGCCATTGTCGTGCGCTTGTTGAGTGTCAACTGTCGCGCTATTGTTGACATAATCCGCGTCCATTGATCGTTCATTGAGGAAACTTTTCGTTTATTGAATCGTCCTCTTTCTGACCCGGGAGACACCGTTTTGGGCTCGTCTCATTTGGGAGACGCCATGAACAATAGGTATGCTAGCAGTCATTAACGTAATGTAAGATCTATACAGTCACTATAGACGTGAACTTATCGCAACACGTTTATTTTTTTAAACGCTTAACGAAATAATAAACGATTACATAAAGAGAAGTAAATAACAATAAGCTCGATTTTCCTGTTTTTAAAGGCAGAATTCCTTAAAGATTTTAACTTTTAAAACCAGTTTATGCTTTTATCATCAAATCATACTATAAACGGTGTTAACTTCTATTTTTACACATTTTTAATTGTGCACCGGTACAACGGGCACAGGGTACAAAATTCTTTCTTTCAGTTAAGTATTTTCGTTTTATTAATATAAAATATAACTTTATAATACGCTGAATTAATAAAGATTTTTTTTCACAAATCAACCGAATGGTTTCAATGATTAACTCTTTAGATTAATTCGGATAGAAAGATTAGTAGTAGAGACATCTTGTATTATCACACTCATCTCCCATTAATAGAAAGCGTTACGTAACTCTACTGAACTCTGGCATCTGAAGATTGCCGATAACCTTTAGACTCGTTTGCCAAAAATTTTATCAGATGTGAACTTGCATTATTTCCTTTATGTAATCATCACTTATAGCGGCAGGGCGTCCTGTATTGCTTTCCTTTTAATGCTGTAGAGTTTCGTTTAGTCGCTAAAGGACACACTTTGACGGGTTCATTTGTCTAATAATAGAAATGTATGACGTTTCTGTACAGAAGTTATAATAATAATAAAAATATACTGTCTTTAATTTACGCGAGTATCTAGTATACATGTAAATAGAACATTAGACTAAAGATGAAGGTTGTCTCTGATGTCGTCGTTTTTACTTTGCCTCCCCGTGACCATGGCTGATGGCTATCCGAACCATCGGAAACGGCGGGCCGTAATTTTAATAATTTTCAAATTAGATAAACCAAAATATACCGTTCTAAACCGTTAAAGTGTTTAATTTAAATAAAAAAACATGTATGTGTCTATTACTTACATCAGTCCATTACATTGAAATTACGGGCGGATCGTGTACGGAAAAACCGTGACTGGAATCCCGAATCCACCAGCATCCTAGATATTTACCTACTATGATTCAAATCACATGTTTACCTGTCTTCGTCGGCACGATAAAAAATATATGTGGAATATAATTACAAAATCTTGCAAATTACGATACGATTGTTAATAACTTGCTCAGAGACATCCCCTAACGTAGTCACGTGTAGAGTTACGATCGAGTAACCCATTTCGATTAGGAATTAACGTATTCCGACACGCGAGGAAGTCTCGTTTCCGGACGACAAATACTGAAATGGAAAGTCGGCGAAAGTGTGTGATAACAACCGACGTTGCTCGTGTAAACGGATCTCTGTCGGCATCACATTTTCATGTTTTGACGGATATTGTAACCGAGTACGTGTTTTTCTTTGTTCCACGCTCTAGAGCTGCGATTTTAATCCAGTATAAAAGAATGTTGAAAAAAAATGTGCATAACATTTGCCGATGAAAGGAGCGATGGCGAGTTTCTTGCCAGTTCTTCTCGCCCTTGATTTGTCTACTGGTAAATGTATATTTTGCCTTTTTTGCTTACGGTATTGAGGTGTAGAATTGTGCCTAGTTTAATATGATTAAATATTTTTCTATTTGATTTAACTAGAAATACATATTTTTAACAAAGCTTTGAGTAAATACTATACTAATACTAATAGTTTTTAATGTGTACTATTTAAATAAAATACTTTAACTGTTTAAAATGCGATATATTAGTTAAACTTAAAACAGTAGCCGTGGTCACGGGGAGACTGTCTCCCCGTGTCAAGTGTTTTATTTAAAAGTCTTGATGTCTAAATATATAGAAAAAAACATGATATTTTTACTAATAAACTCTTTATATTTTTTTCGTTATATTATAACTTTATAAGGTTAGGTTAGAAAATCCTTTGTCTTTTCGAAAATCTGACCGAATGGAAAATCTGTAAAATCATATGCCATATCACTTAACACAAAAGCAAGATCTAAAATCTATATGGTTTAAAACGTGAAGCAAAATTTTCAATACATTGATACTAAAAGATTACTGTTAAAAGTAGTATTACAATTTTATTTTCTTCAACTTAGGGTAAATACAGTTTTTAAGCATTGTCATTCGACTAGACTGTTTCAGCTACGGTGTACTATGTCGTGCATGAAAAGAATCTTTTGAAATTCCTCATCAAACGCGCTTTAGACCGTCAAAAATAGGTGTCAGAAAGGATTGCACATACATTTTTAAAAGAGATCCATTTGTCACGTGGTTTGTGGGTCAGGGTATCCGTAGGGTCAGAGGCAGTGCACATTTGGGTCACATCATTATGTATTTTGCATCATTTGATGCACTTGACATACAGACATACAATCGTGAACTTTTATAGATTTGCTAGTTTTCTGTATTATTTGTTTCGTCCGGTACATGAACCTAGGGCGCTGAACTACGACAGCGATAAGCCAGAAGAGTTTATGTTGAAGCGGAGAATTGAAGTTGTAATTGTCGGTCGTTAGTAGACTTTTAATTATTCCTTTCCTACAATAGAAAATGCAGTTTATTGTGTACTTAACTATTCAGAATGTCTAACAAAACGGCCTTCGGGGTTTGATCGCTGACCTTCCATACTATATGCGTCAATAAACTACACAAATCAAGCGACTAGATATTATATTAATTTCTAAAATATTGGCAAATCGAATATAGGTTTAGTAATATTCTCTATGTAACCTAACATAAAGAATTCTACTGTGAGCATAACATTACTGTGTCGGCTGATCGATTTTATCATAGACAAGAAGCATTATTTTTTACCCGGTATTAGAAGCCGATTATATGTAGATTCTTTAATAATATGAAAAAACAGAGGCGACCTTTTGAGTAATATTACTTCAGTTTTACTTTTCAATTTTATTGTTCTACTGTAATAGAAAAAATAATCAATTACTTTGACAATTTGTCCCACTAAACAGATTGCAGTACCTATTTTGTTCCACCGGTATCAAACCCAAGAGCTTATCTCTATACAGCGAGTGACCGTTAAAGCTAATACATGATTGTGTTACAGTAGCACGAATTAGAACTCAACAATTGGCTGAAAATTATTGTTCGTTGATATCCTGCTATTAAATAGAGATTTAAATAAATTATGTCATCAAATGTTCAATCGATACAGAGTGATTACGTCGTATTATTTGTATCGTTATTGGTCATTCTTTGACCTTTTTATGACAAAGTAGGACAGACAAGCACGGAGGTTGTTTGTTGGAAGGCAAAGTTATATAACATCTAAACAAGATGCGTTGTCGACCCATTTTGGATTTGGGCGTTCGGAAGTCCATAGGAACGGTTTAAACTATAATATCCAGATTATCCAGACGAAAAAACTAAGTTGATTTTATATATCCGACACACATTGGTGGGAATCGAACCCACGCCCGTTTGCTAGCCATACATTCGATTCCTTTAATTAATATCTTCCATTAATATCTGTCGATGGATTTTAAAAATAAAATTTGTAGAAAGAGTGTTGAGAACACAATTTTCGAGAAGAATTTTTTTTATTAGAAATTGAACTTGGGAAATAATTATTAATAAAATAACAAATACTTATTCTATTAAAATTAATTCATATATTTTCATTAAGTAAAATACGAATGACAATCGAAGTCAGTATCTAACTATGTAACATACACATGCATGTATGATGTACATTTCTCATAGTCGGCACCAGCCAAGCGAAGAGATCGCTGCGTCAGCGACCAATCAGCAACTTTCGGAAAGGACATGAATTGCATGCTTGAGCTGCATAAATATTAATGGGAGCCAATCTGTACAACGAATATTTACGACTTACGTCAGACAACTCATTCGACATTCAGGCTGTGCAAATTAAAAGTTAGGGCTGGCCTGCCTGTACCAGAAGTTTCAACAACTGCCCCTTGTGTTGATAGTTGTTTATCGTTAGTCTTACTTTTGAATATTACTATATTTTTTTCTCCTAAAGGAATCGGTAATCTGTGTATTCTTTATACTGTATAAATTATATATTTCTAAATGTTGGTATACCTAGCAGTAAACGCAACGTGTCTTAGTTAAATTAAGTACAAATAAAAAGTGTTTTATTTAAGTGTGACTAAGTTAAGTTAGTAAGGTTAAGACTCCAAAGATGCAGTCCTAATTACCAAATAAAAATATTCGATAATAGTAGGTTACTTGGTTTCACTTATGGAAATATCTAGTTTCTGTAGCAGACAAAACAGACAAAACCCTTAATAATTCTTGTAGATATAGTTGACGTTGAGTTGAGTGGGACGGCCACTCTTCAGCATATCATTGTTTTTCGGGCTTCTCGGCCGGCGTGAGCGAGTTCGCCATGTGATCACATAAATCTTTGAGCAATCGAGAAGCTAACAACATCTCCCGATCATACCGTCCGCTCGTGAGGGTTTCTCGCTCGCCCGAAAAAGCTTTGCTTTTGTTTTCTTTGATCGGATAGTAATAAAGTACTTGCGATTCCAGCGACGAAGGCGACACGAGCCGACTGCTGCGCCAGTTGAGCAGGATAAACCGACCCCTCGGCATCACCTTCCACCAGATGACCAAGCTCATGGGCCAGTGCCAGCAGGTAACATCGCGGAATTACGATCAGGTATCTAGAACTCATTTGGTCGAAGTATTCCCTTGATATCTAGTGGCGGATTTTCAGTTCCTTGTGGGTAAATGTATTTAGTCGAAACCAATTTGCATCATATTTAAGGTTTTAATACATATGGAGAAGTAAGCTAAATGTCAGTTGCCAGGACTTGCCAGGAGAAATAAGATATATGTTACTTCTCGAAATTGATAATTAAAATAATGAACCTTAATATTATTCAAGTTTTAAGGTTGAAATTAAAACGTTGTTAAATTTTCGTTTGAGACATCGCAAGTAAAATTAGCACTATCTCTTAAATGGTGTAAAGACAAAACAACGCTCTTAAACGGTCCTATAAGAATTTGCGCTGAGCAAAAAACCTCCTGACCAACTTGAGAGAACAATGCATCATTATGGCAACACAGCATAATGCACTATTCAGTTTCTGAGTAAAAAACGAGAGATCGCCTCAGAAAATTGTGGCCTTGGTCGAAAATTGGGAAATATATGCAGAAAAACACATTTGTCTACCTTCTTATTATTATTTCTACTCATAGTGTAGACATGATAGATTCGGATTCGGGTCACGAAGTCGAAAGTTTTATTGCACGTTGCATACCAAACATATTTTTAGTCAAAGTTTACACTTCTTAAAACAAAAACATATAAATTAATGTCTGTAGTTTACGTGAGTAGTACACATATACTATAAATAAACTTATGTGTATCATTTTAACTACGGCTCAACGCTTCGGATGCTTTGCAGCAGCCGTCTCCCCGTCACCGCGGCCAAATATATTTTTTTATATATATATATATTTATATATATAATATATATATATATATATATATATATATATATATATATATATATATATAGCGCATTTTAAACCGTTAAAGTTTTTTATTTAAAAATATGTGCAGACAAACAATTTTGTCTGACACACATTTTGATACTTCTAAAAGTTCAAAAATATGCAGATTTTATCACTAAATGTTCAACTAATCCGTTTCACACGGTCAATAAGAGATTAGTTGAATTATTTTTAAATCTAGATTTTTTATTCCAGGTTGAAGGTGTAGAAGCTGGCGCGGAGAGCAGTAGAGAAATCTGGAGCGAAGAGAGCGAAGCACAGGCCCGTCTCAGGGCGGGCGGCGCCCACGCAGGGCTACTCGGAGGTAGCCCTCTTTCGCTCCTCCAGGGGATCATACCAGGTACTACTATATGTACTATATCTACTACGGAATTTACTAATTTAACTGCAGCCCAACGTCGGATTCTTTGTAGCAGCCCTGGTCCCCAGGGAGACCCCCTTGTTAAAATAATTTCCAAATAAGTTTAACTAATATATATCACGTATTAAATTGATTTATTGAAATGTGTACTACTCGCGTAAACTACAGACGGTGTTAAGTTACGTGTTTAAAAACGATACTTCAACTAGAATATCGCAAACGTTTTTGTAGATTTTTTGCATGCCTATGTTATTACAACACAATCTTTTATCTTTTCCGATATTTGTCTGTGTACTGAATTAGTTTCGACCTCCCGCAGGTACAAAATGGTGCGGCACGGGCGACATAGCCGCCAGCTACCACGACCTCGGCGCGGACCGGGCGCTGGACCGCTGTTGCCGCACGCACGACCTCTGCCCGACGAAGGTCCGCGCCTTCTCGAAGCGATACAATCTCATGAACAACTCGCTCTACAGCAAGTCTCACTGCAAGTGCGACGACATGCTGTTCGAGTGCCTCAAGTCGACCAACACCTCGGCCTCGCACCTCATGGGGCACATCTACTTCAACTTAGTCCAAGTTCCTTGCCTTGAGAGCCGGCCGGACGGCGTCCGCTTCCGAGAGGCCCGGCCTGGCTTCTAGCGGCCGAGTAGTTAGACTAGTTGCAATTAGCGCCATCTAGCGGTAACGTGCACAGATTTAATTTAACGCTGTACATTGCATTTAATGTAATCGTCATCGCGGTCTGTAAATACATTAATTTAGTATCTAATCGTTGTGTACATTTTATTGTAACTAATTATTTAGACATTAAACCTGTGATATGTCTGTGCCTTGTATTGTTCTATGTATTTTAGGAGATGGCGCTTTAATACTGATCGAATAATTATCGTAATATTAGTCGTTATAGTACATTTTAAGGTTTATTTATTTCGGTTTTAATAAATTATCATCATTCGTCCGATTTTACCGACATTCCAAATGCTATTGTATTTACTAGTATTATTGTAAACATTAGAATGATAAGTGATTAATAAAACTACTTCTTTAAAAAGTGTGTTTTTTTTTACTTAGTATACCTATCATTATTAATATGAAAATTATAATATGATAAGCTTAAACTTTTTTAGATGTAGGTTAAGCAAGAATTAATCATACGTATAGAAGGGGATTGTATTCGCGACATACATAACAAAAAGTTTCATATTAGATAGACAATTATTTTTAAGTATCTATTTTATTATTTTTTGGTTTTTAGTACATTTATCTTAAACATTGCAATGTATGTTTAACATAAAACCGTTTAACTTATAAAGTTTTTTTTACCTATTTTGTTTTAATTTAACATTAGGGACATAGTCTTCTTTTTATCTTTAAAAGTCTTTTATTTAATTGTGTACTACTTGCATAATATACCGATAGTGTTTAATATGTTATCTATGTTCATAAAAACGGTCATCACCAAAGTCAAATGCCAAGAGTAAGAAGTTTGACAAGCAAACGATATGCAGTTTAAACGTCATCTGTCAAGGAATCTCGGCTCTTATAAAATCTGAAATAACAATTTTTGCTATTTTTCCAAAATAATTGTATTTATTCGTGGTTTTCTTACGTGGCGTAATTGTTGATGAACAAAATAATGTTCTTAAGTAGATTGTGCAACTGCTAATAGTAAATATCTACGGACCAACATGGGTGACCGTCCCAATATGACAGAAGAATCTATAATAAAAGGTGTGTGTTTTTTGTTAAATTACTGGGATAGAAGATTTAGAATTTGAGGTCTATCTTTGTTTCAAGTGGAAGGTGGCGTAGGGAGCTCCAGGGAGCATGGTAAGCGGGATTTAGAAGAAGAATTCAACATGCAGAGAGCCAAAATGAAAGAGCTCTTTTTACAAAAAGAAGGTGGGTTAGTGATCCAATTAATTTATTTAAAATGTAAGTTGACGAAGGCGTCATAACTGATATATTTGATTATAAATGATATATTTGAGTAGTGAACATGGGCATGACTTGTGTGTTTATTTTCCAATACATTGATTAATCAAAATTATTTAGTATTAAAAGTGTAATCTGATTCACTCCAATAAGACTAAAAAGGTTTTGCGCTAGGCATATACCATATAATCTGATTATACACTTTGATCTGCAATGCAGATGTTTATATTAACAGCATGAACTTGAATCATTACTTAATCTTATGAAAATTAAATTATCCCATATATTTTGGTTATGGTTTGATGTTTTGGATGATTTACAGTGCTGTAGTGACTGTGGGACTGAAGTTGAAGGGCAATTTATTTTTGTTAATTACATCATTTTGTGTTAAAGTATTGATGCAGTGACCAATTTGATTTTCCTCTGAAATGGATTGAAAAAACAAAAATTATTATGGAATAGATATTTTTTTCACTCTCCATAGCATTGAGAGGCCAATTGTTTTATTTATTTTAATTGCATAGACTATATTATTTTTTTATTTATTTATTAGATTCACCAACGTTCTTACAACTAAATACTTATCCTAAGATACATGTTTAAGGGGACACAATAGGTTGTGAAGAACAATTATAGGCGAATACAGCAAGTAAAAACAAATATTATAAGAGAGAAGCACACACATTGTAAAATTTAGGTGGGAATTAACATATCATTAATTTTATCATTCATTCTTACAATTTATCTTTAGGAAGTATATTCAAATGAAATTGTAGAATGGTGTAATGATGCACCATCACATGGTTTCAGATGATTTGAGAAAACTTCGACTCGAAAAGGAACAGCTTGATTCAGAAGTGCTGGGTTTGAGAGCGGAGTTACAACAACTGCAAACACTTAGTGAGAACCAAGTCTCTGAAATACAGAGCTTACAGATGTTAGTTAGTGGTATGTACCTCTCTTTAACTTAAGTTAATTGTCATTCTTCCAATATGATTCAAGAAACAGTGTATAGCAAATAGCTACTAATAATCTGCTGGCACTTAGTTTATTGAAAACCATTTTAAATCAATAGGATTCTCCAAAATTCTCCTTTTCACTTAACTCTCATTATCATCCTCTGCTGTGGCCAACTGTAACCATCCAATCGATTATTTTGTAATTTTATATGAATGCAAAAAAAAGAGCTATCTAATTTTTTGGCTATGTTAGCTGGAAGGAAAGTGTTTTACAGCAGTGGTGGACATGGTGAGATTCTAACCCATGAGGCAATGGAAAAAACATATCTACTATTGGACGGCAAGCCCATCAAAATTAATAATAAATATCTCACATGCTTCTATAAATTAACTAGTAACACAATCAGAAACATTATCAAGCATTTGTTAATTATGTATGTTGTACAATTTACCTCATTCAGTTCTAATCAGAGTACTGGGCTATTCCTAAAAATGTTACCAGTGTTTAACTGTTGGTGGGGAGTTAGAGGTATTAACTATTTTAACAGAATGGTATATATGTGTGTAGTTATATATTTTTTGTCTTTCAAAAACATACTTTTTTTATAGAAACTATAGAAGCATCATCGTCAGGAACAGAAGAGATCAGACGGCTTCAGACCAAGAATTTGGAGCTAGAACAGCAATTACAACAGCTACGCACACAGCAACAGGTTAGTGTGCCATTTACACTACTTAACAATGTCAAAGGGGGCCATCCCACCTTTCTATAGTTACTAGAGCTAAAAGTGGACATCAATATTTTGTTCAGTACACTGTACACTATTTATTTATACTATTTATATAGTTTGCAAAATTTGAGATCAATGTATTTAATATTTATTCTTAAATCCATTGACTGATTTTGGCCTGAAAAAGGCGATTCCTATAATACAAAAGAACGGTTTCTTTATCGGTTACTAATATCATCAAATTAAATACATATAATCTTTTTATATAAATTTTTCATCTGTATGTGTATATATTTTTCTTGTTAAAGTTCTCATTGTTAAAATAATAAGTTTTTAAAACCTCAGTGGCAAACAATAAAAAAAGTGAATTCTCTAACTTCCCTAAAGTCCTGTGGCACACGTAACAAAAAAAAAATACTAAATTGTTATTTTTCTTTAAAATATTCCGCTAATTATGTTATCGCGTCAGTTGTTTTGCATACATCATTCGTAACGTTTCAACTTTTAAGGTGTGTGGAACGAAATCTTCATGCACTTATTAACTAACTACATTATTTGAGTTTTATATTTAACGAATTAATGTATAACCGTTTGTTAAAAATAAAATAATTGTCTATGAATTATTCTTATTTGTCGGATTGTTTATGCAGAACTTAACTTTGATCGACTACTCGGCAAAATTAAAGTAGCAAGTAGAGTTTTCATTTCGGGTTAGTAACTTTTTGAGGATGAGAATAATTACTCGCATATATAAGTACACATTATATATATTATATAATAGTTTTTGTAAACTTGCCCTTATTTTATCGGCCGGAATTTTTATCACAAACACAGCACTAATGGTAAAACTTAATTGCTGCGCGTACGCCGTAGCTTATTTAAGTCAACGTTTTTATTTTTATTTTGGCTTCCGTTATATTTCTACGGAAAGTAATAGTGTTTTTTAGTAGTTTTTACGTAGTAAATGCCGTGCAATTATTTAACAATAAATGCTCTTCTGATATAGAAGAGAGTTATCTCTAAATTTACTGAGCAATGCAAACCAATGTTTTAAGTCCGAGAGAGTCTCTAGTGGAAACTGTCGGTATAAGAATTAAATAATTTAGCAGTGGTAGTCGCTTGTTCCCGGAGCTATATTATGAATAAAGGAAGCGCGATTATTTCCCACGATTAATGCAATGAAGCTAAGCGTTAACTTGTGGCAGGAAGTGTCGCTCGCGCCGGCCACCTTCGTGCGGAGTTTGGCGCGGAAACTCGGAGCCGACACTGACTTGGACCAGCCTGTCAAGAAGGTACATGAGTACATATATATATATATATATATATATATATATATATATATATAAGTATATAGATTTCACGAAATCGAGTTGAGTTTTAGTGTTGCATCGAATATCCAAAGCCAAAATATTTCGAAAGCGCATTTTTGTACATGTTATATGGCTATCAATGTGGCTATCCTTTGAGCAGAATGCCGAAGACGGCGAGCTGGCCCGCGCCATCATTCAACCGATGGAGATGGAGATCACCGCCCTCAAGAACAAGCTGAGGGAGACGGACGCCAAGTTGCAGGAGGCTCTGGTATGAAAACAATTCAAAAATACATTGAAATTAATCTGTCATTAAAATTATGCAACATTTAGGACTTGGTCTCGAAATCTGGATATGAAATGAGTATTCGGAATTACGAAATTTCGTATGGGTCCTCCTCCCAACATTGAACTTTGCTTGTCTTCCGTCTTCTATATTTAAAAAATTTTTTTTTTTTCAACAGAGAAATACTGCAAACGCAACGACAACGTCGTGTTCTGTAGACGTTAGAACAGAAGTAGGTAAGGTAGTCTTCATTGTTATCAAATTCCAAGAAAACGGTTAATATTTTTTTATATTTAAAAGCTTTGGTGGCCGTTTTGCTATATGTCTAAAATAAATAAAATATCGGTCCAATACATTACAACATTTCTAATTCAAACAACAGACGATCAATTGGCGGTGGGCGGTGCGGGGCGGGGCGGCAAAGCTCGGGCCGCGGCGTGTGACATGTGCGCCAACTACGAGAGGCAGCTGGTAGCAGAACAGGCCCGAGCTGACTCCGCCAGGGAGAAGGCGATACGCGCGGAGAGCGCACTTAAATTGGTGAGCACTTAAATGGAGTAACAGGCTGATGACTTCTTTATTTAAGTATTTCAATAAAATTTATCTTCACGGTTTAGAAGGCGAAATAAATTTGTGAGTTTAATTTCCAGGCTACGGAGGAGTTGGAAGGAGTCAGGTCGATACACGACGAAACAATTAGGAATTGGCAAGCCGAGCGGGCCGACAGCTGTTCCCGAATCAGCGAACTGAGTGAGGCTGTGAAGCAAGCGCAGGAGCTGGTGCGGCAGCGTTGTGCGGCTGCTGAGGAGGCCTCGCAGCGTGCGCTTGAGCAAGTCACCACGCTCACTGTCGACCGGGAGACGCTGCAAAAGAAGTTGGACAGGTCGGTACTTCCTTTAATTCCAGAAGTACCTTCTTTATTTCCAGAAGAAGAACCATGAGCTTGAAGTCTAATGTATGTTTTCCCCCTTGGATGATTACATCACAATTTAGTCATTCAGGAATCTAACGTTTGTCTTCTGTTTTCAGTCTAGAGAGAGATAACGCTATGCTTATAGGGCAATACACGAAGAAGGCGGTCGAAATGCAAAACGAAGTTATTAATCTACCGGATAACGCTACAGTGAGTCCATTATTTCATTTTTAAACAGACCGACAAAGATTATTTTATGTTAGAGGACAGAGCGTGGGGTTCTCCTAATGATAGGTAAAATACCACTGTCAAACAACATCTTGAGCTTTGGATATTCGGAAGTTAATAATAGACTGCCATCGACACGCAAATCAACTTGAAGGCTCTTTCATCTGTGGACATTGGTTCGTAACCCTGGAAATTTGATATCCCTACCAATTTAATATACAGAGTTCGAGACGAAGTCCAATATGTTTCAGAAAAATTATAAATTGATCAACGTCCTGATCATTTGCAATACATTGCTACCATTCATACCGACAAGCCCGTGAAGTTTATTATTAATTTTATAAGGACTTGCAGAGTTCAAATAATTATCTATCTGACTTTGGTTTGGTAGTATTTTAACCAAAAAATGATGTGAGAATATCAGGTATATTAAATTAAATTAAAATACTATAATGGAGTCTTCAATATATTTGCAGGAGCTACAAGAGCAATGCCTTCAACTCCGAGAGCAGTTGATCTTCAGTCAATTAGGTCGCGAAGAAGCAGACGCGAGCGAGCAGGAGTTGCGGAACCAGCTCCTGTCCCACGCTGCTCTGCTGCATCAGCAGGAAGCAACGTTAACCAAGACTAATGCTGAACTTCGGGATTGCAGGTATCGCCAGCCTTGAAGTTTCTTCACAGCAAAGACGACGTGGTTCGATGCCCACCAAGGCGAACGTGTTTCAGACTTTGGATTTCTGAATGTCGAAAGCCAAAATAGGATATACTCAGTTAGCTACCTCTCTAGAAATTGAATAAGCACAATCCTTTCACCTTAAAATTTACTGGTAGTGCCTTATTACACATTTTCTGGAAAGTCAAATGTTAAAAGAACTTTCTATTCTTATTCTGCCTACGCAACTTGTAAACAGGGCATCATATATTAAAAACTAATTTCGCTTATCCCAGGATAAAATTCTAGTTAATAAATAATTATTTCGTGATCTAGCTTTTATATAACAATTATGACACAATTTTATTTCAGAGATCAATTAGATAAGTTGCAAACGGAGCGCGAACAATTGGTGGACTTCGCGCACAAACTGAGACAGTCCACGGACGTCATTGAGGAGTTACTCGAAGATAAGGTACGATTAGTATACATCGTATTTATTCGCAATACTTATAACGCCACTATAAGGTAATATAACATTTGTGGACTCCACACTTATTACCAAAGTATATATGAATCTTTTTAGAAACGGCTGCAGAGCGAAGTGGCCGAGACGAGGTCTCGTGTCTCTGTGCTTCAGCAGGAACTGGACAACAGTGAGAAAGTGCAACAGGACTTCGTTAGGCTATCACAATCACTGCAGGTAACCGAGGTTTTGATTTTACAAAGTCCTTGTTGTGGGGGAGTCCAGATATCGAAATAGACCTTATGCTATTACTTTATTCTTTGTAGATGGAAGGGATGGGAAGGAGACAATGATCGTTTCTGTGTCAATAATGGATAATCCAAGAAGTCCATTTCTTAACATTTACAGCTTTTTGTATCTAAAAAAAAATGGTTTTTTGTCATACATTGTATATAAAGTAGGTGGTGAAAATATCGAATCACCTCTACAGATGAAAAAGGCGCGAAGTTTAATCGCGTTAGTTGTGGGTTCAGTTTGGATTTCTTAATATATAAAGCCAAGTCGAGATGTTATATCGCTGGAGTAGTCTGACCTCTATCGCAAAAAACGATATTGCCCATGCAGGTGCAACTCCAGCGCATTCGCGAAGCGGACACCGAGGTGCGATGGCAATTCGACGAAGACGTGTGCGAGTGTCCCTCCTGTCACGCTTCACTTCCCAACAGCAAGAAGAAGGTCAGTTCAATCCCGAGAAATGATTGGCGAGGTCGTGCTTCCGATATCGGTGAAATCTTTTAAATTAATGCAACAAGACATCACTCAGCTGTTGCTGCAACAAATCTGTCGTTGCAGCAACAGCTGAGTGATGTCTTTTTTACAGCAAAGTTAGTGTAGGTGACAATTGTCACGCAGTAATATATTTTTTAATATTATTGTATAATTTTGGTTGGTGTGGAATAAATTATTTAAATTTTAATTTGACATCCGATTAAACTTTTCTCTATCTCTCTTCCAGGTCCACTGTATGCACTGCGGGCGCATATTCTGCGGCAACTGCGTCTCCCACACGGTCCCGAGTGGGCCCCGCGGTGCCCCAGCACGAGTCTGCTCAGTCTGCAGCACCCTGTTGCAGCCCCACACCGCACCGTACTTCAGCACCGCGCCACCTCACTCCCCTGACTAATCTCTCTAATCCTGATGACATTTAGTCACCGGACAGTCACATTACTGTCAAATAGTGCGACGTTTTGACTCAATTTCATTGTGAAATACTGTCATTGATCAATTGACGGCTGTCAATTTTTTTTATCAGTGCTGTAAACTATTATAATATGAGGCATTGTTTCTCAGCGAAATCGGGTCATCTGTCTAGCGCAAGTCTTGACGCTAGACGAGGCGTACTTTTATCACAGCTAGTAATCTCAAGTTTCAGTAATCAATATCAGAACTTTAACTCTCTACGAACGAATGAAAGAGTAAAACTTAAAAGAGCTACGAACATAATCAAGATTCATTTTAACTTATAAATTATTTATATTTATTTAAAAATTATTTATGTCACGTTTTTTAAGTATTGTTTATAGTTTACGCGAATAGATCACATTTAAATAAAACACTTAACAGGCTTAAGTCGTGAAATATATATATATATTTTTTAATTTTTTATTTTATTCATTCAAACTTTTACATTTATTTGTAATATAAAAAAGCGTCAACAAAAACTCATTCGAGTTTTTCCGTAACGCCCTCGTCTCATTACACTTGGTATCTGATGCTTTTCAGCAGCAATGGTGCTCCCGAAAGCGCGTCGCTCTTTAAACCATTAATTGTGTTTTATGTAGACGTTGTTATAGTAACATCTTATGCATTCGTTCGTAGAGATACTCGGTAAGCTATTTATGCAGAAAGCCAATATATATTACATGTTTTTTTTCGTAAAGTTGGCCCAGGGATTCAAATCCAGAAGTTTAAGCCTAATATAAGTGCATCTTATGCTTTTATTTGCCTTGGCCGACTAGAAATATTTTTCCCCTTTTCCTCAGTAAGTGTATTAACATTTTTCCATAATATGATGTTAACGGTGTTCTCATGGGAAAAAATTAACATTGTAGAATTGGATTTGTTCAGTGAGCGTCCACTGCGGTGCTGTTATTTAAAATTTCGCCTTATTGTTACCTAGTTGATAAATTATTAATGATTTTTAGTCGTTCCCAATATCTTTAAAGTCTTTATCTTTAAAACGACCGGAGCCTGTTCTGTCTAAGATTCTTTGACTAAACAGAATGCTATAACAAAATTGTTCAGCTTTGGTTAAATTGTGCATAAAATAACAAGTGCACGTTTGTGTGGTGGAAAAATTTAAGCCGAAACGTTAAGCATATTTAAGTAAAAGAAAAAAAATTATATGAATTGCTTTTTTGTTAGAAACCGAGGCTTCGCTCGGATACAATTTGAAACTTTAAATGTATCCAAGATACAACTTAAAATTCAGTGGACGATATTGAGTTGAAGCGAAGTTGTAAATATCCATTATAGTAGATAGAATGAATTTAATGCAGATTTAAGTAATGTCTTGCAACATGTTGACCAACCGGTCGAGTGATAAGTCGTGCTAAACTGAAATGATCTATGGCGAGTCAATTGAACTGATATAAAACAATTGAATGTCGCTTCGAACACTCAACTAGGTCCCCGTGAATATAACACAGATACCTTCCTGTATTAAGCCTTTAATTTACCGTTAATTGTCAGTTCAATTGATACTAATGTCTGTAGTTGAAATTAATTAGTCAATGTTGTAAGATAAAATATTTAATTGTAAATAAAGATGAATATGATTTTCAATTACAACATTTCCTTCCTCTTGGGAAAATTCATGTATGCCTTGAAGGCGTTCCAACCTGAAGAAAGGCAATGGTTTCGTCTTGGAGGGCACCGGGGCACATTAGGAAATTTGTAAAGAAATAGAATTGTATGGTGTATCAAAATTTTAATAATTAACTTACAATCGAATGTACTTAAGGCACAAGCCAAGTAAATTAAAAACAAGAAAATAATATAAAATGTCCTGCGTCTAATGGAATGAGAGAAATTCCCTTTTCGTGTACCTGTTTTATGAAATTATTAACTTTCGTTAAATTATAAACGTTTTTATAATTAATACTTTGACGGTTAAAGCGCGAACTATATATATTAAATAACTTATTTTTAATTTCGACTCGAGCTTTAAACCAGCAACTAACTGTTAGCCGTCAGGTACAGAGCAATTTGCGAGTATCGTACTGCTGGACTCTGGCATTAGACGGGTGTTGGTGATTTAAATAACTACTATACTATTTAATAGTTCTTACTTATTTTTTTTTTGAGAAACGCACCTTCAATTTACGTAAATAACATAACTGTATACTTCAATAGAAACAAAAATATCTTTCCACGTTTATGTTAGAAAAACCTTACATCTTCTGATTTGGCCAGTCTGGATATGGCTCAAGGCCTAGAGTTATGACGTCACTCACGAGACAATCGCCGGGCTGCAAGAAATAATTAAAAATATTAGCAATAGGCTCATTTAACAATCAAAACGCGATAGAACCCGTACTCTTACACACACTACACTTACCAAAGAACATATTCCCACAAGAGCATCAGCGCACCCGTAGAACTCCTCTTTGAGTGAGATGACAATGGTCTGCAGCGAGCTCTGCTTGCTTCGGATGAAGGCAGCTACCTTTCCGATGTTGGTGTTGTCCAGGGCAGCGTCGATCTCGTCCAGCAGGAAGAAGGGGGCCGGCTGGTAACTAGAAGTAGAGCAATCACAAATCAGATGGAGTATTAAGGGCCAACAAAGCATTTGAACGCGGTGCTACGTAAATAGACAGGAAACATAAGTTATTTTTTTATCTTTCGCTAAGTACCTGTGTATCGCGAAAAGGAGAGCTAGGGCGGCAACGGTCTTCTCTCCTCCAGAGAGATTGGACATGGGTTGGAATCGTTTGCCCGGAGCGACGCAATTGTAGTTGATTCCGTCAAGATAGGGCTCCTCTGGGTTCTCCGGACCGAGGAACGCTTGCGCAGACTGGTTCATCGCGAGGGCCTGACGGAGAACCAGATGTAATAACACTGACATGACATTAATACATTAGGAGAAGTTCAAGACTCGAACACGTGAAAGTATTTTATCTTCATACAACAAAAACTAACGTTTGTCGAAACTCTCTATTGTACGGTGTTGCGGACAGCGCCATCTTCGTGTAATCTTTGGAAACTATTATTGTTCATGTTGTTGCGTACAGCGCCATCTTCATATATTCAATGTAAATTATTATTAACTAATCGATGGGGATCTCAAGAAAGAAAGCACTCACTCACTCTGCAAACCTTGTACGTTACAGCATTGTATTAACATCTTTAATAATAAACGCATTCAAAACTTTAACATACCGTGTATGTGAGACCCTTAATAATGTGCTTACTTTGATTCTATTACACGTTTTAAAAATAAATTAAAATTAGGTTCGAATTCTGTTTACTAAATATTTTTAAATACTAATATTATATTAACAATGCTGTGTATATCAGTAAATGGGTCCTACATAGGTATTTTAATTTATTTTATGTAAGTGATCGGTTGATGCAATATAATAAATAAATAAAAAGATGATAATCAAGACTAACCTTGTAAATTGCGTCGATTTCGTTGGCGACATATTCGAAACACGCCATGAATTTGTCGTGGCGCTCCTTTTTCACCTGTGAATTGAGGAAAAATTGTAAGCCCCAATTGACCCTAACCAAATAAACCAACCGTTGTTAAAATGGGGTGCTTACCTTTTCAAAGGCGAGTTTAGCTTTGTGCGCTCTCTTCCTAGCAGCAACAAAGGCCTCGTTCGTGGCGTTCACTTTCTCGCGGACTTCATTCAGTTTTTGCATCGCCTGAACATAGCAATAACAAATATCAAAAATGCCAATCATTGCACTAACACAAATTATTCTTACCTTCGTTCATTACTTAGCTTTGCAATATCGATTGTATTAAATAAAGTACCCTCATGTTCGGAGCCTGTATCTTGTCGACGGTATTCTGAAGGCTGTTGATCGCCTTCTGCAGCTTATCCGCTTTGCGCTTGATCTCGTCCGCCTCCTCCAGGTCTTTAAGCGATTCGGAGAGGCTGCTGTAGTCTACGCGGATCCTGGTAACATTTAATGGCAAACAATGGAAATAGGAAATTAAGGGTTATATTCTTGCCAATTATATAAGTTCCAAGAGAAAATTTTAACTGTATGCAAAATAAAAATACCTAGATTCCCTCATGTAGGCTTGTGTGGTGGACATGGACGAGGGATCGGATTCACTCTCGGCGGTCTCATCCATACTACCCTCCAAAAGCGGCACTAGTATGTCGTCGATCTGGAATGCGTTGGGTTTACATACGTATCACAAATGTTTCGCTTTCGACACAAATCAGTCATCTCTATAGTTCGTCACCTTGCACTGCCTCAGTATATTGTGTCGGTCGGAGCGACGGCTCTCGATCCTAGCCTCGATGCTTGCGATCTGCTTCTGGACGCTTGCGATGTCCTTCGCTATCGCTGCGAGGTCTTTTCGCGCCTGGAAATTGGTAACAAGACGATTAATCTTACAAGTCAAAGGGCTTAAAAATTACGACTTACTTTATTACTTAAAAAAATAGGAGTCGGGCAGGACTTGAAACGGCATCCACAGCGTTCCGTGCCCTCAACATCATCGTCGATTTTTTTAAATGCACCTCTCGCACAATATAATTTCAACCATAACACTTGCGTATTATTATTTTTTAATTTATATATTGCCATCGTGTTCAATAACATGTGAAAATTTTAGTTTACAAAGTTAAATTAAAGGCCCGACAAAAACGAAATGATCACTTAGAGACGCACCTGCGTGACGGCTTCCTCGGCCGCCTCGTGAGCGGCCTTACTCGCCGCCTTCTCGCTCTTGAGGGTCTCCGCTTTTCTCAGCTCCCTGTCGATGTCCTGCCTCTGCTTGGCCTCTGCCTGCCTGTTCGCTTCCAGTTCGTCTTCGCCATCCTGCACCGTCCTCTCCCAACGTGTTACGTTTTCTATGTAAACGAATTCATAAAACTATTATATAACTCAACAAAAATATTTGTCACGGCAAATACTAACTCTGCGTGTCTCTGGATCGCTCGAATTCAAGATTGGACGCGATGCGGTCGATCTGCGCTTCGAACTCCATTCGCTTCTTAGCTCGCTCTTGCTGAGCGCGCAGCTCTCGCTCCTCGTATTGTCTGCGCGTGCCCAATTAGAAAATCATACAAAATTTAGTACATTGTATGACACGGACATTTACAAGTGCTAATCGTGTGAAATAAGCTACTACCGTATGTTTGCTACGCCGATGTCCCTGCAGAAGGCGCGGAAGACCACATCCTCCACATTATTCATGTTCTCCTTAATCTCCTGGATCTTGGAGTCGCGAGTGCGGATCGTGCGTTCTATCTCTTCTATTTGCGGCTAAATATATCAAGCATACTTTAACTTTGTACAAAATTTGAATTTGAGATAACTTTTGTCGATTAAAGACATTTTCAAGCTCGAGCGCAAATGAAATGCCCGATGTATTACAACATATTGTAGAGTTTCCCCCTCCACAAAAAGGCAAATTAAAAATGGCGCCTCCCACATCGTATACTTACTCCAAACGTGTCCATTTTTCGTTCAAGCTCCTCTAACTCTGCGTCCAGGGCCTTAATTTGTTTCAACTGCAACGTTCAACGATAAACTATATTTTTTATTCTTCGACTTAATCCTAATTAAAACTATTCTCCACAACTATAAGTACATACGACGTTTCGCCATCATGGCCCGAAAGACAATGATATGAAAACCAACATGTTTCAGAAAAATTATAAATTGATTAAAAACTTGTCGGTGGGAACCCGAGATCTGTTGATTCTTAGCCATACATTGCTGCCTTATTTTAGTGGGATCACACAATTGACGCGTGAAAGTGCGCACTGACCGTGGTGTCTCTGTCCGACTGCGCGTACTTGAGCCGGGACTCGAGGCCGCGGATCTGCGAGTCTACCGTCGTCAACTCCGACTCCTTCCGGGATTTCTTCATGGACTCTCGGAGCTCCTCCGTTAGTTTTTCCTGAAGTTAATACATTTCGAGATTTATTGTAAATTTCAAACCATTTTTGAGAAATAATAAATATTAAATTAATTAATTTATTAAAGTAACGAAAAAAAGTAACATATATATTAAACATAGAGTATAAAAAAAATGCATAATAATCACACAGATTTAAAGACAGGGTGGACTTGAATCGCATCCACATCGTTCTGTGCTACTGTACTAACCAATTGAATTGAACGACAAGTTAGCTCTATCGGCTTGAGCAGGAATACGGAGCGCCGTGGATGTCGGTTCAAGTCCCTGTCCTAAAATATTCAATGTCGTTCGCGCCCACTGCGTGAGAAGCCCACTGTCCCTCTATCGTCGAATTAGTTACTCGATGCGCGGTGTGGCGGCCGCCGCCGGCATGTATTTTTATTTTAATTTCATGATATCTTTTGAATAGAATGTCCGATTTCAATAATTAAAAAAGTAATCATCAGCTATCGAGACTGCCTTGAATATTAAATTAATATTTTTTTAGATAAAAATGTATAAATGGTATGGATAACACGGTTTGATTTTGATCGGCATTTCTATCAATTAGTTAAATGTAAAAAAGTAGTTAATAGTGACGTAACTACAATAATTAGACATATGGTCTCGCAGTTTTTTGTTGATATTGATATATTCTATAATATTGTCGAACATTTTTTTGTCCTATAATTAATATGCAGCAGCGCAGCGTATGCGAAGAAAGACATTTAATGGCTAATTTTTTTACGCCTCCCGTTGTTTTTTATAGAAATTTCTAGATTTCTATCGAAATCTAGTATTAAGTCATAATGTAGTCTACGTTACTCAGTGATAATGTAGTTTTCTAATGAAAAAGAATAATTAAAATCGGTCCAGTACTTTTCGAGTTTATCCATTACATACAAAAACACAAATTTTTCATCTTTATAATATTTGTATAGATTAAATGCGTACAAGAGTGTCGAGTACTCATGAATATAAAATATAATATGAAGGACTCAAATACCTTCTTGGCCTTCAGTTGCGAGAGATGTTTCTCGTCCCAACGCTTCGCCTTGCGCGCCAGATCCAGGGATCCACCAGATATGATTCCGGACTTCTGGTAGAAAGTGCCGTCCAGCGCTAACGCCTGCAGATCAATAAGGCATTAATCATTACGAATGAAACGAAACGAAAATATGTATACAAGTACTGTTATTTTTAACATTGCTCCTAGAAGTGATAGGAAATCTGACTTAATCCCGACTAATTCCTTTCATTTAACAAATATTCCCCAACTCACATCATATCTGCTGTTTTTGTTGCGATCCAGATCATAGGCGACCCTGGAAGCGTCCTCGGGGGTCTCGCAGACCAGAGCATTGTTGGTGACGAAGAGAACCGCTCGATGGATGGCCTGGGGCTCGAAGCGTAGCACGTCGAAGAGGAGTTTCACGTTCTTCGGTTCTTTTATATCGCTGCACGAAAAGGGCGCGTTGAACTATTTATTTATTTAATATAATTTATTTTAACGACGACCCAAAGATTCGGATGCTTTGCAGCAGCTTACTCACGTAAATTTAATTGACTATTTGTGGAATAATCTAAACAAATCGCTCACCGAAGCCTCTCCCTGAGCGGCTTGGCCTGGATGTAGTCCAGGGGCAGGAACGTCTCGGGCTCCAACATCCTCTCCTTGAGCACCTGGATGCACCTCCGCGCCGTCTTCTCCGTGTCCACGACGATGGCCTCCATGTACTTGCCCAGGACCTTGGTGATGGCCACGTTGTACCGCTTGTGGGTCGGCTGGCACATGTTGATCATGCGGTCGTACTGGAAGTTTATTGCGCTATTTATTTTGTATGAAAAATTAATTTCTTTGATTTGATCGGAATTGATTCTTGTGTTAGGAAATAGTTTCCTTACGAATATGACACACAGGTAAATGGTATTGTAAAGTTTTTAGTTTTCAGACAATTATAATATTTAAAAGTATATTATCCTATATATATTTGTCTTCTTTAGGATTTAGATTATAGTCTTCGTGTGCTCACCACCCCCGGAATCTCTCTTTTAAAGCTCTCCACGATCTCTTGCTTCTTGCGCCTCCTTGCCTCTTCGTGCTTGTCGACTCTCGCGTCACCCAGCTGCGAAGCCACCTCCTCGAGCGCGGATTGGAGCGCCGCCGCCTTGCCGCGGCACGAACCTACGTCCGCCTACATGCGACAAACTATGACTTATTTTCTGATCAATCTTTTGTACGAGAAGGCCTTTTATCAAGTGGTGGGGGGACGATACCTGCAGTTCAGCCCGCAGCCTCCTCTGCTCCTCGAGAGCCTGCTCAGAGCTCTTGATGTGTTCGTTCAGCTTCTCTACTCGTTTCATGGCTTCGTTCCTCTCGTGGCCCTGTGCAATGAAATATTATTACATCCCGCGCACACAAAATTAAGACTAATCTAGAATGTATGTAATTTGTATATTGTAATTGTAATTGCGAGAATAGTATCCTATCTGTATCACAAGGACAAAAACGGTAAACTGAAGTGTTTATTCATTGCACTATTGTTGTGGCGTGTATGTCTATGTGATTATTAAGAAACAAAGGGGTACGGTACTTACGTCACCGCGTAGAACGCACACTGAATTTACGATTACATATTTCTCTTAAAAACGCACTGGAATCGTGAAAATTATATGGATAATACTTCAACATTTACATTACAGGCGGCCGTTAATAATAATTATGATGTCAGAGATTGCTACCTTCGTTAGGCTCATCGATTACTACCCTCCAATTTATAATAATACTGAAGGGTAGTTTTGTTTATTCGATCGGCCGAACGAAAGTAGCACGCACATAAAATATTATACTGAACCTTTTGGCGATGCTTGTTTTCGAACTCTCCTTTCCGACGTAGCTCATTGTCCAGACGATCCTGGTCCGCTTTCTGTTCCCGATTGACGGAGTCCAGCTCTTGCAGATACCGCGCCGCCTGCCTGGACGCCTCCATCTTCAACTCTTCGTATTCGCGGATCTAATGATTTATAATTATGTGTACAAATATCACCAAAATAGACTTCAAGGTTTTAATTTTAACACACAGGTTTTATTTATATAATTGTTTTGGTTCTTAGTACATACCTGTGCCTCCTCGAGGTGAACGTCAGCCCGGGAGGTGCTCGTCCCCACATTTGACTGTTCCCAGGTCGCTTTCTGTTCCTCGATCTCGCGTAATTCGCTTTCTAACTTGCTGCGATAAGAAGGTAGAGATAATATAAAGATCTACAATTTAATTAACGAATCGCAAATTGTATTAGTTTTACTTTTTAGTATACTTAGTACATTAGTGCGGTCAAACAAACAGTCTTCTGCTTTATATCTGCATAGATAGGTGTTAAACAAACTATCCGGTCGATTTGGTCAACGTAATAGATATTATGAATACCGTATATCGGCTTGGTGAGCCTCGTGCGCCTTCCTCGCTTGCTCGAGAGTTTTGACGGCGCTCTCCAATTTCTTCTGCGTGTGAGTCACTCTCTCTTTCGCCTTTATGAACGTCGGTCGCTTCTTTGAGATCTCTGCTTCCTAATATAAAAAAAAACTTTAATTATCAAAGAGAAAGAGATAATCATTACAATAAAACAGTAGCATTGTGTTGAAAAGTTTAATGTTTAAAATAGGAATCCCAATGCTTAAAAGTTCATTGCATATAATAAAAAAAACTATGTACTAGCCTATAGACATTACCAAAATTTATAACTACTAACAATTTCTCTTATATCCTGCTCTATCTTCGCCAGATCCCTTTGGGCCGTTCCAGATGCTTTCTTCTTCTCCTTAAGGGTTTCCTCAGCCTTTTGCCTCTTCTTCTCTACCTTGGCCAACTCATTTTGCTTATATTGCAAGTCTTCTTCACAAGACTGAATCTCTTTCTCATTGTGGTACAAGTGGAACAGCTGCAGTTCCACTTTTTGTATTTGCTAAGAACAATTAAGGTATATGATTACTAAAAAGCAATTTATAATGATTTATGTAAAATTTTGTGATGAAGATACCACAAGACTAACTGAATACAAGAGATATTTCAATATTATTGTCAAATAAAAAAAGGCCACACTTTATCAAGTAATATTATGTATTAAATTCATTTCAAATATTTTAATATTCATATTTTTTTACCAGGTTCAAGGAAATAGCTAGGAAGCTTATTTTGAGTGAGTGAGTTTTTGGATTATATTTAATTCTCTATAGATAGCAACAAAATCAACTTACTAATTCCTCTTTGAGCCTTGTATACTTTTCAGCTTCTTCTTTCTCAAACTTTGCTTCCTTTCTTTCTGCTGCAACTCCCTTCTTCTTTTGGTAGGAAAACTGAGCTTCTTCATCTGCTCTGTTTACCTCGGCTCGGCATAGCTCATATTGCTCTTTGAGGACACCAGACCTTAAGATGAAATAAATGAGGATAAAAACGATAATGTTCTTGTTTTATCTACATATTTTAGTAAAATAAACTTTAAAACATGTCACAGAAGAATAATTGATGACAGTTGATTGACTTACCCACTAATTTCCTCGAAGAGTGCGGTTCTCTCTTTAGGATTTTTCATGGCAATGCTCTCCACAGCGCCTTGGAATACTAAGAAATTCTTGGCCTTCACATTGATGCCCAGTTTCTCTAATTCTGCCAAATACTGACTGATTGACACAGACTAAAAATAAAGATAGAAGTTCTAGTAAACTGGCAAGACATACATTTTAAATACATTTTTATGTATGCTACATTAAGCACAATATAATAAAAAAGTGTAGTTATCTAAATCAAAGCTATCACCTGTCCATCAATCTTGTGGTCAGAAGACTGTCCAATAACAGACCGCATAAACTTCTTTTCAGACATATCCTCCAGAACAAATGTAGCTGTTACAGATGCACTGTAAATAATAATTACACAGTTCACTCTTTTCTTGTTATTATTAGTTATAATTAGCAAATTGAAAAGTACCAAAGAACAAATTAAGGGATGAGAACTATTGAGGTAGAATTAACCTATTTGAGGTTTCAAGTTTCAACTAAAAGAGAGCAAAATAACAATGGTTTAAACACTATTTAGCTGGTATTCCAAATTATGTGAATATTGCCTTATTTATAGAATGTGCATTCTTGCAGTACATATTACATATAAACTATACTACAAGCGCCAATCCAAAAACTATTACAACCCATTGAATGAGAACAATTTTTTCACACGAGAAGTATGCAGAGTACCAAATACCAACCCAAACCCGAGTACTCAACCCATCTGTACTTCTTACCGGGTACCAGGTATTACAGTTAGTCTAACTTGCTTTAAAGACAATACCTTCTAGATGCAGGCTTGTTAATAGATGCTCCATGAATAAGATCACTCAGCCTTTTAACACGCAGAAGGGATGTTTTCTCCCCCATCACAAAACTCACTGCATCCATGAAGTTTGATTTACCTAAGAATATATTTGAGCGGGTCTTAGCTAATAGATTATCTTAATGGCTGTTCTAATACATGCAAATCGTCGGATTGCAGTTCGAAATAAATCGTTAATTCGAAACTTGAGGGACTCTTAAAATATTACGAAATATCATTAGAATGTTTGAAATATCCAATGGTTCGAAATTTATGAGAGGAAATAAATAAAACTTCGAAGTACGAAGAATTATTGATCAATACTTACTAAGTATTGATCAATAATTAGAACTGCTATGCTAAAACAATGGAAAGTTTAGCATGTCCATTCATACATGTACATACCAACAAAAGGCTGACAGTAACTGAGATATAACTAAACAAACCAATTCGTACGTTGATACAAGTTTGAACTTGTCGCAAAATGTAAACTTTGAATTGTCGAGCGTTGGACGCAAATCAGTTCGAATTAACGCGTCGTCTTATTATAAAGCAATGATTTTTTCGTTCGAATTACCAAGTGCAAAAAAATGTATTGATGTAGTTCGAAATTTAAAGAGATTTTGTTGGGTACTCGTGATAACTTTGAATTATAGAGAGTTTCGAATTATCGCAGGTTGGAATTAACAAGAGTCGACTGTACATATAAATCTCTCATTTTACAAGTTACGCGTGCTTTATTTATTATGAAAAGAGGAAATAATAGCTTACCAGATCCATTTGGTCCAACCACGGCTGTAAATGATTTCAGAGGTCCTATACAATGATGACCACGATAGGACTTGAAGTTTTCCATGTCTATATACTTAAGAAACGCCGGCATTGTGATCGTGAACATCAACAAATTCACCGGAATTATATTAATTAAGTCAGCTTTCTCTCGTTTTTCACTGCGCAACTTATTGAGGCAATACACAACACAATACAAAATAAAACATAAAAGTGGGTAAACGAATGTCAAAGTTGTTTGATACAGATTACTCGGTGGCGGCAGCGTCGTTGTCAAAAATCTAAATAGCCATTTCGCCACAGATAACTATCAAACTTTGAGGATGTAAACAGATGTAAATTAAATGAAAAAATACTTATTCATAAATTTGAAGGAAATTATAGGATTATAAATTCAGTGGAACTATAATATAGGTAGCTCAGTCATAATTGAGAAATGGTCCTCTTAAAAGGATTCGCTAAATGACCACAGATTGCGAACGCAGTTTTGATTTTCTTTGCGCACTTCACTAAGAGCGGTAAGTTGAATTCCCCAAAATCAACAAGAAAATATAATTATTACTTTTTCCTGCGAATCGAACACAAAATAAACTATGCGGTTGGTTTACTATAATATGAATTATGCATATAATAATTCTGTCGCAATTGATATTTTTCTGTATAGTAGAATATGTTTATAATGAAATAAATAAATACAACTACATATACCGCTCCTCCAAGCTATTATGAACTAAAACAAACAACTCGTATTATCGTTTTATTATTACAGTGTTCCAGGTACAAATGCATAATATTATAAATAGGTACCTCGTTTGATTTAGTTTAAAGTAAACATTCGATAATTATACAATAATTACAATAGTGTTCCAATTTTATATCCTCAATACAATTAAATAGACTATAGAATACATAAACCTTACGTTGTATATGACACAAATATAGCTAAAAGTAGTTATTTATTAAAAACTAAGCGTTCGATCCCCAACCTATTAACACATAATTTATTAATAAAACATCTTTAGGCATTAAGCAATGTACAGAGTTTAATTTAATATAAGCTTTTCTCTTACCCTATATGAACGACAAGATCTTTGCTTGAATTGTATAAAAGTGTTTATTATATTTGATACGTATAACTAGAAATGCGTTCTTTAATTCTAAACACTTACAGTAATTGTATATTTACAGATAGTTAACCACGTAAACAACAATACAAACAATATTAACATTTAAATTCCACGTCAATTCTTATCTTAAACTTATAATTATAAACAAAATAATTTTAGCACATTTATAGCTTTTTAATTAGACTAGATAGTCTAGTCAAATATTGTTTTTAATCTTTATTGACAACATACAACATAACTTATTTAACTTTTAAGTAAATGACACTTTTACATGTAAAAGTCGTAATCATTAGTCGCGTTACCATATCTATCAAATTTGATACACATTAAATTAATAACTATAGTTTAGCATATAAAAGAAGATAGACATATATACAACAAACAGTAAAAGCCTTGTAAATGCATATATTCTCTAGAAATCTGAACTCGCATCAGATTCCAGACTTTACACACGTTATTTATTGAAAGATGTGGAAGGTGGCCCATCATATAAAATACCATACGCCTGATAAATACATTTAGCAATGCTTCTGTGCAACGCTGATAAAGAAACATTCTACCACCGCAATTAATAGAAATAGTTAAATAATATATCATATTGGAAAGTTGTTTGTACTTAACAGCGTACGTAACTGTCAAAAATTACACAAAATATCCACGACATCAAAATACAAAAATGTGTGATTATTATGTCGCCTTAATTTATGAATAAAATAGTGGTGTAAACAGACAGTTCAAATAGCGTTGTTTATATTCATACATTAATGTGACAAACGCCTTGGAAACTAAAAAGTAACAAGTTTTAAAATAGTTTGGCAAACATTACACCGTACACCACTAAGATTTATAGTCTACGTAAAACACGATAACAGACGGTGTGAAGCACGGACTCTTAAAATAATACATACAATCTAAATTATGTACAATATAAGTAGGAACCACTGCGTGCAGCAAATGCGGGGCTATCAAATGAGCCTTGTGCTCGGCGGCGCGTCTTCATCGCTGTCCTCGAAGCGAATTTTGCGCTGGCGCTGCTCGTCAGCTGTTCGCTGATTCTCAGCAGCGTCAGGCTCCGCGCCGCCGGCCGCCAGTCAAACTCGGTCTTCGCCTCCGGGGGGCCCCGATCTAACGAACTGGAAACATATTCACGTATATATAAGGCCTTGAAAATTTCAAAGTTGTGACTTATATGATTTTTACATTAAAAAAATCCATTTAATAGCTTTTGAGTGGAAGAGTGAGAATTATTCTTATAGACATTATTAATTTTTAAGTGTTTAAGATTTTAGAGATGCAAAACAAAATGTAGGAAAGAGTGAGCTCCTGGGGACCAAAAAAGCGAGGAAAAATTGCTCCTAATTTGGCGAAAAGTTAAGCGCAATTAGAGGATCCGAGCCAATTACTAAACTTCCTCCGGTTAATAGGCTTCTCAATTATCCATTCGCGTGTTGGACTTCTTTAGGCCTTTTTCATCACTCATCGTTCTTTGGTAAAGCCCATTTTAGATGGCTTTAACCAGCAATTACTTCCAGAGCCATTACTAGAGATTGACGAACTCACAGAAACCGTAGTATTCGTAGTGGAGTTCGCTCTCGGTCTGAATGTGAGAATTCGCCATCGGCGTCTCAGTTGGGCTAAAACCTCCCCATTGCAGAAGCAGTAGAGCACGGCGACGCAGAGCCCCTGCAGCGAGGTGATGATCGCCGCCACATATTCGTACACCCTCCACCAACTCTTGTCTCTGTCTGGCCGGAACGGGGTTAGGAGATATTGCACGCCTAAAGAATAAAAGTAAACCTCTTCAAATTAAGTACTTTCAGTTACTAAAAAAACTTCTATTATGCAAAATATGTTATTTTCATCTAGTTTTTATTAATAATTCCGAGACTGAGGAGTTGACAGTGTTTTTATAATTACTTATTTTTATTCGATGAAACAGTTGTTTCAATAGCGTTAACCCGAATTTAAGAACTTATTATTAAAACGGAATATGTAAATCGTTTACCTAGAAGAGGAGCCAGTAAACAAGTAGCTCTCAGCGCATGCAATGCGGTGGCAGAAGGCCGCGCTACTCCAGCGCCACCGCCCGCCCTCAACTTAGTGCACAGCACTCTAACTATATTACAAAGGAACGCGAGGTTCAGTATAACGGTCGCCAGAACCAGCACTGCCAACTCCGGCCTCGGAGCCCCTTCGTCTGCCCAGCAGAAGGGATCGTCGGTCGCTATTCTTCTCGCGGCGTGGATAACCGCCGAAGGAATCGGTAACAACCACCCGGCGGCCAAGAGAACGCGAACCAAGCGCCGCTCCGACACGAAAGCGCTGACCAGCACCGTATGGAGGTAGAGCCCTTCGCACAACATCCACGTGTAGTTGGTGAGTAGAGCGTATTGGAGTACAGCGTTTAGTAGACGGCACCAGACTGGGTTTTCTTTGAGGGTATCTGGATTGTTCACGACCAGGCCGTACCATGCGAGCCAGAGGGCGTTGTTTAAAGCGAAGGATGTAAAAAGGTTTATATGGACCGTTATTCTGGCGCAGCGGAGGCTCCTGGAAGAGAAATGTATTTCTTAGCAATATACCATTCTTAATATTGTCAATGTAATATGTAAATGTATTTAAAAAGCCGATGTTATTTAACATTTTCCTTTCACATAACAACATATCTTCTATTTTTTTTATTAATTCTAATCTTTACTATTCTCTCAATACCCTATTGATAGTTACTATTTTACTAATTATCAATGTTGAAGAGCTGTCTACGCGAATTAGTTATTCATGTTGTATGAGCACTGAGATTACTCGGCGGTAATCAAACTGTAATTACTTGTTACCACAGATAACTACGTAGTTCGTAAATGTCTTAGAGCCGAATGGCTTTTATAGCTTCAAATTTTTAAAACTTATTTTTTAAAATACATAATATACATTAGAAATGCTAAAGTGCGTTAAGCAGGAGGTCCTCGGTTTGAACTCCAGTCTAATCAATTACTTACTTATGAATAAAATAAATCAGTGAAACGGACGCAGAAATATGTTCGCCATTTGAGAAGCGGAATTATTTTGGGTTATATACGTGTTTTCTTTCCCATAGATATAAACCACAATTTATCGAGTTACATGTCCTAATTTCCCGATATGCAATACTCACTTGAAGTACAAAAGGATGGCCAACGAAATAAGCAAGGCAATGAGAGATATGCTGTAGCCCGTCTCGAACAGTATCAGCACTTCTGACACGTCCTGAAACAAACCGTCATCTGTTTAGTCCCACGTGTGGGAAAGAAAAGTGTAAGCCAATAAATGAGGCTAAGTATGTATATATAACATAGAGGGATTTGGAACCCGAGCTAACAAGAAAAAAAGTTACACACTTGAAAGTACGTCTTTAGTTTTTAACTGGTATGACGTACAAAAGTGTACCAAGTTACCAAAAATACAACTTGACAATTTGATTACTATTTAAATTAGTAAGATCAGTTTCGACAAAAGCATAACAGACACGAGATGACATTAGCACTTGAGATCTTTGCATCGTCGTACTGCGTGTACCGTTTCTTATTAATTATGTAAATAAATCCCAATATAATAAAATCAATATCAATTAACGAGTTTTCATTGTAACTTACTGATAATCGTTATAACCTATAATAAAACAGTCGACTGATAATGGGGCATACTATGTTAAACCTATATGACATTGCAACGGATTTAATTTGCGGTCGGTTCTCTGCCACTAATGAGGGGGTTAGGCTGTCATGTAAGGTTGACTTTATAACGAAATATATTCGTCGTATATGTAAATAATGAAGTACATCTTAATAGCTCTTACGAAGTAAAAAGGTTAGTTTTATATAGTCTATTATGCGCTATTTCCAATTAACCTTATAACTAGCGCTACGTTGTCGTAGTTGGTAAAGCGTTGTGAGCTGATGGATGAGTAGGCGTACCCATATGCAATTATAAATTTCAAACAGCAGGGGTAGAAAGGCAAACAAACAAAGCACCGCGCCATCCATAATTCAATTTTGTTATCATTCACCATTTGTATTGTATTTTTAAATGAAATTGACATAAATCGCAAGAAAAAAAACTAATCGCACAAAGGTATATATAGTATACTATATACATCACCTCATCTGGTTTGACACAAGTGGTGTAGTTGGACCACGGCTTCCCGGAGTCCGGATGTTCCCACCAAGTTCCATTTTCTGTACATTGTTTGTGCGCCCATACTGGGGATAAAAACTAAATAAGTAATAAATAAAAAATAATTTTTGATTTTTTTATTTAATTATATGTAGAAGTGGAACAAGGTAATCATCAACTCGTGGTCTCTAAATATACATAGAATATAAATTAGAGAAATTCAACATCTTTTACATCTCTCTGTAGATCACAAACTAAACACGCACATATGTATTTCCAAATTACTACACAAACCAATTAAATGGACTCTTTTAAATTCGAACGTTTGATAATCTGTAGGATCTGTCGAGTTTTAAATTAACGATACTCACTTCACACAGCAATTAAGTTTAGTATGTTTCACCTCGTAAAATACAAAATAAAAAAAAACACAATTACTACGTATAAGCGGGACTTGAAGATGCTTATGCTTTAACCAATAGTTACCGCGTCCTACACGTCTCGTAGAATTTTTCTCTCTAGTCTCGCATCTAATTTCCATAGACACGTTAATTAATACAATACTAGCTGTGCCCGCGACTTCGTCCGCGTGGAATAGTGACTTGGGATAGAATTTTTAATTATTTAGGCTGTTCAGTAAATCAGTTCAATAGTTTCGGAGTTAAGGCCGGACAGACACAAAGACAGAGTTACTTTCGCATTTATAATATTAGTATAGATAATAAGAATAGATAGAATTAGATGAAATCTTGCTTCAATATGAAACGGAGGGTGGGAAGAACTACCCAAACAATCTTGTCATGTTATACAGGAATGAAGTTTATACCATGTTATACTAAAATCAAACGTAATTAACATCTTAAATCATTTGTTAAATCAAGGGTATACAAAACGCGTGACTCGTTAGAAATGCAACATTTTTAAAAAGCTTCCATCTCGAGAGTTAAGTTAAGATAGAATCTAACGAGTGTTCTATTTTACAAATTATGTATTTATTCTGTATATTTCACGTTTAAAACCGTTAATGTGTTTTATTTAGTTGAGTAAAGTGAATTTTATTTTTTATTAGTTAAATTTTAAAATCTATGCACATATAAGACGAACAGTAGTTAGAAGAAAGTTAAAGACGCGTTTGTTGGTGAAAATATATACTACCTATATAGACAACTTGTATTGTAAACTCCAAGACGGTGCGGGTAGCACTAAACTAGTTATTACTTTTATGACATATGCCATATAGATTAAAGTCATTATATACAGATATATCAAAATAATATATATACGAATATTTGAAAACATTAATATTTTTCACATGTTATTGCACATGGAGACACTATTTAATTTAAAAATCGAAAATAAATTGAAAAAATTTTCGACTCGGGCAAGACTTGAACCGGCATCGTCGGCTTTCCGTGTGTCATTTGTTTTTTCTTAGAGTTCAAATGATCATACAAAAAAAATATTTCAGGGCATATCATTGTTTTGAAGGCTGACCGAACAGCCGGAATAAAATGATATGCTGAAAGGTGGCCGTGAAAGCCTTACACTATTTATATTTCAGGGTGTGGGCAGCGTTACGAGCGTTTTTGCAGCCAATCCCCAGCACTAACGATGCTCGCGAACGAGGTGGAAAGACTTTCAGGATACCTGGCAGGAAGATCTGGGCTAGCGGAGAGCTGTGCACAGCGCTAAGGTAACTTAAATATTTTTGGGAATAAATAAAACTGAATTAATATAATTAATGTGTAAATCAATAATGAAACGCTACTGTACGAAAAATAACCGTTTAGCTTGGTATATGGTTCTACTAGCAGACAGACTTGGTTCTTTTAATTACGGAACACGTAGCATTTTTTTGTAACATTAGGAGAGCTTGGTTAGTGTTTTTAAGTCTACAAAACTTACTTTTGATGGGCTCGTAAGCTCGTTGGTGTGATGATAGCTTATGTACGGATACTACGGTACGGAATAATAAACGGGTTGCGGGTTTGATGCCCACGGGATTCAGCATGTTTCTAATATTTATTCTTCTGGAAATCTGGATATGAAATGGGGTATAGTAATGTGGTAATTTAAACCACAAATCAACTACACAAAGGCGTACGCCTTGGATATTCAATATTTTTCATACATTGATGTAACCCCCCTACCTATTTTCAAAAATGGATTATTTGATTTTTTTTTTATTCTGTAACTATTAAAAAAAAATATATTTTTGATGATTTTGATATAAATACGGTTTCTATTATTCTATTACCCGTTTAACATAAATACTAGCTTTGCCAGCGACTTCGTCCACGTGGCATTAGTTATTTTGGCCTTAGTTATCTTTTATTTTTGCTAACAACCTCCTCAACTAAATAAATTAGTCACAATACCCACGACGTCGCCCGCGTTCCGTCACGTCGTATAATCCAAAAAAAGATAGACATATGCTGTCGAGGACATTTTTTTAGATCATTTAAAGGGAAATCTTTCTTTCCTACATATTGTTTGGTTTTAATACCTCGCAACGGAAAATCTCAAAGCTAAATAATTTTCCCCGTTTGCTCGTCATTTCCCTCTGTTTCTTTGCAGTCGGATGTTTTATGGCCTAAAGCCTCCCTCGATAAATAGTTCAACCGATACGGAAATCATATTTCAATTCAAATCAATAGTTACTTAGATTAGATAAGAACATTAGACAGTTATTGTAAAGTTTAAAAAATATCTTAAGCGCTATGAGCACGAATATCAGTAAACTAAGTGGCATATTGGGCTGTATAAATTCCACAAAGACACACACGTAGTTTTTCTTTTGAACATAGTTATACAAAGTACTTCTCTTTAGACATACATTATTTTATTTACTCGAAACACTTACAATCCGCACTGAACCCCGGTACAAATTCTGGGCAGTGCGCGAATGCGGTGCTGTTAGCTGCTGTGTGGGGCCAGCATAGCCAGGTGTCGAAGGTGCCTTCGCAGTACAAACCTGAAATATTCAGAACTTAGTGGCTTTGTACGGAAGTCCAACGATTTAAAGCTTTAGATCGTGGGTTCGTGTCCTTCCTTCCTCGTTAATCGGTCTTTATAATGTTCTAAGTGTCACTTAAAATTTTATTTCGTTTATAACTCACCAGGGGGCGGTTGTGTGTAGTTATTAGAAATGTCACAAGCTATTTGTTCCCGCGCTATTCTCTCGGGGTCTTCCATATTGGGCGAAATCCATCAATCCTTCACTCTGCCTCCTTCATTCTTCTGAGAACAACGATATTGATTTATTTATTTCAAAGAGGGTAACAACTTGATATAATTTATGTGACGATTGTGTACTTCATTTATAGTTATGCACAACGACGTCGCTATAAAATAAGATATAAATTTAGAGTAAAAAATTGAATAACTATATTATGACAGGACAAAGTAATTTGACATTTTATGAGTTGGAGAAAACATCTATTGTATTATCTATTTTATAAATGCGTAATCTGTAACGGGGGCCGTATGTAATGTATTAATGATAAGCCATTGTCTGATCTAATTTTTATTGCTATTAATAAAACAATTTTTGACCGGCCATCGGACCTTGCATAATTAATTGATTAATGTCGGGAACAGAGGACGTCTTTTACGTGAGACCCATCCATCAATTTTGCCTGTAGGTTGTCAAATATACTGTATATGATCAGTATGTAGTAAACAAACCAACGAAATGGGAAACGTATTAGCGTACAAAGGGTTCTGTACCATTAGGAATACAAACGAAACAGTTTTTCTAAAATTTTAGAAGGTAAATTTTTCAAACTAGAAGCAGGATAATCAAAATAGCATTTGATAAAACTAAGAAACGGAAACGAGTGTATATTGGTTTTATTCGTTTTAATGTGATATTAGAGCGCATCTGTAACTAGATTGTGTTAAGCGTGAGAGCTCCTGGTTTTGAATGTCGGGAAAACAATAGTTGGTTTCGCTGGCACAGAGGTCTGATCGACTTCTTCAGTTTAATTCGATGATAAAGATAGCAGTCTTACTATTGGGAACCGCTTTAGGTAGGGAACCCTAAAAAGCTGTTTTGATGAGTATTGATTTCGTGTTTCGCAAGACGCGTCGAAGATTATCCCGCGTGTGTGAGTTAAGCGCACTTGATTGAATAATTGTGTTGTCGTTTCGCTTGTTTGTGCGAAAGTCCCAAATACCCCGTATGACTTTTATTATGGCTGACTAAACAGCGGGGTTATGTGATAGAAGGGAAATGTCCTGATTTTTCGTCCGTCGTCGATTTTTTTACATTCCGGTGTGCGATTTACAAAAAGATTTTATTTTATGTTGCATAGGCAATCAGATTTATTTAATACAATTAATTTTAAACTAAAGATATGTTTAAATAAAACACTTTAACGGTTTAAAACGCGATATATTATTTAAACTTATTCGAAAATTATTTTTAACTTCGGCCCGAGGTTTCAGATGCTTTGCAGCAGCCGTGGTCACGGGGAGACCTAATATATCGCGTTTTAAACCGTTAAAGTGTTTTATTTAAATGTGTACTACTCGCGTAAACTATTGACAGTGTTTAATAAAGATATGGTTTATTAGTATATGAATATTGTACATACATCAGAAAAATACAATACTTATTATAATTATAAAGCCGAAGTTTGTGTAAACGCACTAATCGTTGGAATTACTGGTTCGAATTGAATAATTAAGTGAGTTTGTGTTAGTTGGTTATTCTTCTTTAAATGATGTAAAATAACGTCCGGAACATTTTATGTCTAATCTTGCAAGATGGAAGAGACTCGCAAGAATCGTCTTTTTCTAATTTTGATCGATATACTTTATATGGCGAACGAACGGTGGCCGAGTTAGCTAGTATTGAAATAAAACTACGCATTTGCCTTGGGCCTTTGAGTCTCAACATTCTGATACTAAAATGAATATCTCTGTTTCAAGTCCCATGCAGTAACGGTATTTATTATTATATACAAAACAAACGAGTCATATATATCGGTCCTCATATGTCGCTCAATTATAATTTAATAAAATGTTTTCGGGGGTAGTTGAGTTTTTTCGCGATGCGTCCACGAAAGTACGTCATCGTGTGCTGTCAGACGAATTTCGGCGCCACTCGTGCGACTCAGTTGTGCACAGTTCTTATTTTCTTAACGCGAGTGCGATCGAAAAAACTATAGTTATTGTTTTATTATTGTAAAGGACAATTACGTATTCTAAAATCAATGTGTAACGTGATGACGTTAGACTATATATCTACTCGGAAACGCCACGACCATTGCGTACGTAGTTCTGGAGAAAGCCACTAAACCAGAGGTAAGTATTTAGAGAAATAGAACCTAGGTTAGTTTAGCCATATGTTTAGTTAAAAGTGTGCAGTGTGCCTATTTGCTTAGCATATCGCGTTGTGGAGATAAATCTTTCAATTATCTAATCAAATCTATCAAATTCACATTGAAATACGAAATAGAAAACAAAATAAGTTTACAATACGAGTAATAGAAATACAGCAATGTTTTTTCAAAAGCCATGAAATTATATCAAGATAATTACTTAAAAACATCTTAGTTAGGCCACAATTGTGTTTGAGTTGTACCCTATTCAACATATAGGACAAGCCCTTACCTCGAAAATTGTATCACACCATTTTAACTGTTTTCACCGCTCTATGATAGAATATTATTTTGTAAGGCGCGCCGGCCCATCCCAATTCCCTGACCTAATAATCTGGCTAAAATATGTGCTAAACTAGCTGCCCCCTGCGGCGTTACTCGTTTTTTATTAGACACTAAAAATCACATTTTGTTTCATAACATACGTTAATAGCGGACCTACGTCGGATGTAGACGTGGCATTTTTGCATTTTGACAACATCTTTGCAATTTAAATGAAGAACTTTCAACGGATTAAAAATGCAACTTATATTAGGTTTCAAATGCCTTGTAATCCAGCCATTTGTTGTCCAGCGTCGGGCGGCAGTTAAAACAAATTAAGCTGTTTTATTAGTGTTTAAAATATGAAATAAGACTGAGTTGTCTGTAGTTTACGCAACTAATATACATTAAAAAAAAAACATTTTTCCGCTTTAATACGCGAAATGTATTAGTTAACTTATTTGTAAGTTGTATGTATATTGAGACTACAATGTCGATGACCTTGACAATAGTCGTATAGCATTGCTAATATAATTGTCGGATAAAACTCTCCTCGCTGAAGTTTCAAAGGCCCAGCTGCCCTTGCTGCTGGAATGGTCGATTAACGGAGTTATAGGCCCAGCCTTAATCGCTCCGTCGGCGATATTTCCGTTAATTCCATTGCAAAATTGCATAATGCGGTTACCGCCTCCACGCAGCTGCCGTCTTGTGCCCGAGGCGCTTTATTAGATTAAGATGCAAGCGACAACACCCGCACACGTCTCGACATCATCTCAAAGGCGAAGACTGCAACCTCCTACTATCGCGGTGGGTCTTTTAGCCGTGACCAGTGACGTGTGGATGTTTTAACAGAGACTTAGGTTACGTTCTTTTAAGTTTTAGACACTTGAGTAGAAGGGTTAGGCCGTTTATAGCGCCCTTCAACAAATATTAAATACATCGTACGCGACCAGAGTTACTTATATCGAGTGGTTTCTAGGGTTAACCCGTTCAAACAAACAAACTCCTCCAGCCTCATAAATTCGCTCGCTTCGGAATAGAATCACGACAATGTCAATACGCTTCCGAGACGGCCAATGGCGACGCGGAACGTTTAAATCCAATATAAGGGACTCCCAGAGGGACCGAAAGCAATCAATTAAATTGTGGAATCAAATAATGTCGAATTACCCACGAGACGCGGAACCCGAACCGTTATTTAGACTGCGGGGCCCTAATAAACCTTATCGCGACCGCTCCATTGAGATTTACAAACCGCAATTTTGTCTTTTAGGCAATGTCCAATTGTCTTCGCTGATTTGACGCATATGTTTATTTAATATTTATATATGGAAAGCTATCTCATATGATGCATACGGAACTGAAGTAATAAAATATAGTAAGAATTCGGGTTTTTTGAGCAGCGTGCGACGTACGGGGCTTTGCTTAACTGGTCGCGAACGTTTATTTTTGTTGTCTTAGTTTTTTGTTATATAAACCAGAAAACAATATAACAATAACGGATATAGGTAAATACGCACTGAACCGACAGAGGTAAACATATGAAAGTTAACGTGGTGCACTTTTGATATTTTGCTTTAAAGAACTTTTTTCTACGGATTGCTTAAATTATTAGTACACTTAACCCTGGAGTGAGTTTAACATTTTCTACCTATTAGAAAGGAATCTTAAAGATTTTCTCAATAATAATTGTCATTTTTTTTATGCGTTTTTAAGTACTTATGTTTTAAATGATAAAATGAGGCCACTAGAGCCAGAATAGCGTAACTGCAATCTTAGGACTTGACTTATTTATATTTATAGTATAAAATGTTTACACAAGGGCGTTGACCGTAATTAACATAATTCTTACTCATCATCATCACCATCAAATCAAGAAAATCATGTTTTATTAGGCCACACTGGCTCTAGCAGCCTCACATCAATTTCTCAACATATTTCACTGTTAATAAAATAAACAGGGCAGATGCGCCAGACTGTCTAAATGACAGTGATTTGGCCATGACAATGCGTGAGATGATTCGCAGGTAGAATGAATTAATTAGGGGCAGATGAGTTGCAAAAGACGAGATTAATGACGTCCACGCTAAATCTAATCTAGCCATAAATACGTCTTAAAGCCGGCTACGCGTGTGTGCGTCCTTATGTGCTCGTAACTCCGCCATTACATCTCATGGGCTGATGGCGAGTGCCAATAAAAATGTTATAAAACACTTAATTGCAAATGCCGACGACATAGCGCACGTACGAGCTCAAAATACGCATTTTTCACTGCGGGGACATATTCACTATGCTTGTCTTACCTGCTGCGGGTAATGTTGCTCGTTTTCGTCTCATTCTTTACTATATTATAAAGCTGAACAGAATATTTTTTGAATTTAAATTGGAAGAACGTTTTTGTGTTAGATAGGTCAATTATCGAGGAAAGCTTTAGCCTTAAATATAACGTTGCGACCATTAGAAGCGAAGAACCATTGCGTGAGCTGCGAAAACGGTTCAAGAAAGCAATTAAATGAAACGGAAGAATGATTTCTCTTTCAAAGATACAAAAATGACCGCGACAGTATATATTTATCTTTTAACATTAACTCGCAAAAACTGTTTGGGTTATCAAATTTAATCGAAATTAATGCGGTATTACAAATTATTTATTAGTTGTATCAACATAATATTCATATTGCAAACAACAAAACGACGTTTGCCGGCTAACATATGGTAGAATTGTTGAAGAATACGGCTGTGTATTGTGTCTAGACTATTATTTATTAGTATAAAGCAGCGGTATTTTTATTCGGTCGGCGATGCTACTATGTATAATATTATATAATTTAAAGCCTTCTTTCTTCTTTAATGTATTCAACGCAAAAAACATTGTTTTCAATTCGAACCATTTGTTCCTGATTCAAACAAATAAACTCTTCAGCTTTACAAAATCTCGTCTTTGTTATAAACAACTAGCTGTGCCCGCGACTTCGTTCGCGTGGAATAGACTTGGGGTAGAATTTTTAATTATTTAGGCTAATTATTAATTTATCTAATTCCGCATTTATCGCAGCCAATCTATGTTGTAAGTGCTACTTTGCCGCAACACTCTCACCTCACATCACTCCTACTCTAACTACCACTCCCACTCCTACGCCCACGCCAACGCCTATTCCCACTCCCATTACCAAAAAGCCAAAAAAGAAAGTTTCATTGTTCTAGCTTCAAAAACCACGAATTTTCATACAAACTTTTACCCCCCCTTTTAACCCCTTACAACCCCCTTTTCGCAATAAATTCTTTCTCAGGGTCTAAACCATCTGTGTACCAAATTTCATTCAAATCCGTTCAGTAGTTTTGGCGTGAAAGAGTAACAGACAGACAGACAGAGTTACTTTCGCATTTATAATATTAGTAAGGATAAAACAAATAATAAATTTACAAAATGTAATTTATTAGTAATTGTAGAGTTTATTATGCGTGGTGGATTTTTTATATACCAATTAAACTTAATATGAATTATGCCAAGTGCCATCTATAAATCATAATGAGGTTTTTTACAACTTAAATGGGATACTATCAATAAATATGTGACTATTTTCGGCGCATCGTAAATTTACAATGAGCTAGGCTTCAATTTATTGCTTTTATTACTATACGATTTAGTTTGAATATATTTCGTGACATCAAACATTTGTATAAGGTACATAAGTCGTAAGATAATAATTTAACATATATTATATGTTACAGTTATGTATAATTGTTAAATGTAAATATGTAAGTGAACGTGTTCGATCATTGCATCGCAGATGCGGGTAGAGGGTAGTTATCCACTACCAGTGTTAACTGGGCGCGCGCGAGAAGCGAACCCAATCAGTTGCGAAAGAATGCCATCTTAAACGCGCGTGTCCTTGACGTATTAACATTGGTACCGTGCATCTGTCTACTAGGTCGAGGAGCTGAAGCGAGCGTCTGGAAGACCAGGTTAGTGGGTTTGATCCTTTTGCCTGCTTCTGCGCAGCGGTGATCGCAACTCAAAGGAAATCGTGTTTCCACCTAATACAGTCCACTTTATATTCAACAGAACGGGTGGACATATTTTAAATATTACGCGTTATAAACCGTTGCAAACGTTTTATTTAAATGTGTACACAAACACATACTCCCTCCCCCTCCTCTATTTAATTAATTAAAAAAAATCTAACTTTTTTTTACAATTTAGTTGATATAGTAGATAAATTATTTCCATAACTCAAGCTTAAAATTATATAAAAGCGCTACGTATAAAAATGGGAAATTTTTTTTGACGAAAAGTGTAAACTTGCTAAAAGTTTACACAAAGATATCCTACACGCAGTGATATTTCTCGGTGCAAACAAAAGCAAAATCTACATAACTAACGATCACGAGAGACACATCGGCTCTTTATCTTAATAAACAACGCAAAGCAATCTTGTTATGTCAATATAGAACTATTATTTTAGGTTTTTCCTGTAGTTCTTCTTGTCAATATTTTTCGGCAGAGCAAGACTTTCTTTAAGTTCTATCAATTAGTTTTTTTTTAATTATTCTCTTGTTCAAATTGCTTGCTATCATTAATTAAATAAAATTGTAGAATTATACCATTTTGCAACACCGTACAAACTATCGAAAAGGAATCTATCTAATATAAGTCAAGGTTCGTCCAAAAATGTGTACTCATAAGTACTTACAATGGATTAATGCAATTAATTATAAAAGCACTTTTGTTACATTCCGCTGTCGACCTGCTTTCAAAGAGCTTAAAGTTAAATTAGATTTTACTTAATAATGGCTCCATACGGTAGACTTATAAGTTACTAGCTGTGTCATGGACTTCGTCCGCGTAAAGTAGTTATTTTGAGCAATAAAATTTGTTATGCAAACCTCCTCTTCATCTTTATAAACTTAAGCTGTTAGCGACGTCGTCCACGTCCCTTCGTTCTTGTAAGTAATAATAATTAATATATATATAAATGTCGATGTGTCAGAATGAATTGTGATTTTATTTATTATTATTATTTCGTTTTATTAATTATAACGAATTGGCAACATGAAGCAGTTAGCTTGAGTGAGGTCACCCGGATGTCGGCATGACGATTGACAGCGACAGATGACAAGTACCGGCAGAGCGCGCGCGCCGGCAGTCGAGTTGATGAACTAGCTGCGTTAGCAACAAAATCGTAATTTATCGTGTTGATCCCAAATTATTTTCTTACTGTTGTAATTTAATGTTGGAAATACATCGGTAAAGTGAATAACTACGTTTTGATTTCAAGAATCACCATGTCTGATAACGAGTTAAGTCCTGATCTTTCGTTGTATAAATATATAAATATTAAGGATTACCGCAATGATGAAACTTAGAAATGATGCTTTAGATAGGGCTCGACGATCTAAAAATGAAGTTTCCATATTATCCAAAATCATAGAGCGAGTCGTTTTTACTCAGCTCACCGACTATATTGAGAAAGAGAGGATATTACTGGACGTCCAATCAGGATTTCGTGCTGGGTACAGTGCGGCTATTGCAATGGCACATGTCACATTACATTCTCAAACATATCACATTATCTCAAACAGCGAAAAGGGCAAAGGCTTAGGTTACTTGTTCTGCTAGACTTCACGCGGGCTTTTGACAGCATAAATTTGGATTTCCTCTTAGCCAAATTATTTACGGCTACGGCGTGGATTAGGACGCCTGAAGTTGGTTCCAGTCATTCTTGACCAATAGAAGGGAATTTGCCGCCTTTGACGCAGAGAGTGACTGTTTCCGATCGGAGGTCAAACCTGTTGGTCGTGGCTGTCCCCAAGGCTCAGTGTTAAGTCCCGCACTATTTAACGTTTACACTAGCGATTTAATCCAATACATGAAGCATGGGAAAATCCACTTGTACACTGATGACACACAAATATACTACGCAATCGACCCAAACTCTCCACAAAAAAAGTATAAGTAGTCATGGGCAAACCAGAATGCGTTGGTATTAAATCTGACTTACTGGTCTTGGACCGAAACAATGTCAACTAATAAAATCTACATTTACCATTAGCCTTGACAACGCTTCAGTTTCTCAATGAAAGTATTTATTTTTTATTTACAGCAATTAAAACACCATTCGTTAATTGGAGACACACATATTTAAACAATAACAATTAAAAAGTACGAAAGTATAGACCCTCGAGTCCTGGTAGAGAGGAGATTCGAGGACCACGTTAGTCATCTAATCCGAAACGCCTTCTATAAACCAGGCGTTATACAAAATAAGAGAGACAAGTCAGTCTAACATCGGCGGAGTCTCTAATCCTCTCAACTTTTAATTTCTGCGACACTGTATACGGGCCTCGATTGTTCGCTAAGACGGAACGACGGAACAGAGATTGCAAAACGCATATGCCCGGTTTTGCTTTGGGATACCTAGGCGAGCCCATATGTCCCCCTATCTCGACAAGTACAAACTTCTAAAAATGAAGGGAAGGCGGGAGATGCATTTAGCAGGACTTATGTTTAATGTGGTATCCAGAGAGAAACCCCGTTTCGGCCCATTCTACTTTATCGCAGAGATAGCGTCTGCGATAAAGTACAATGGGCCGAAACTTCGCACACCCTTAACACAAAAAGCAGGACGCAGAATCTTTTACTTATCCCCAAGCATAGGACTTCTAATTTCCAAGGAGGATTCAAATATGCCGCTTCGAAAATATGGAACGACCTGCCTCCGCCTCTTAGAGCTAGTTCCAAGGAGATGACCTATACGACTTTCAAGCGGCATGTTAAACTGCTTGGAAAGCAGATGTGCAACAATTCATAGTTATTATTATTATTCTATTATGTATTTGTTTGTTATGGTATATCAATCTTGGAATTATATTTATATTATACTACTTTACTAAACTTCACTCCTTTCCTTCTATGCCCGGTCTGAAGACCAGCGCTGCTGAGTGTGACGAGCATTCAGCAGCATAGCTGAGACTGGTACCGATTGCCATCTCTTATATATATTTATAATTATATTATTATTATTTTTATGCACACAATTTAGTTATAAGTATGTCAATATCTTGTTATGGCAAAAAGTTTTGAATTTGAACTGTCCGTTTTTTTTCACTTTTTGGTGTCTTTACGTCGGTCGTATCGTGATCTTTAATAGCTTGCTCTATAAATGCTCTAACCAATACAAATATATTTTCAATTCGTAGGAGTAGTTCCTAAGATTAGCGCGTTTAAACAAACAAAATCTTCAGCTTTATATACTAGTATAGATTATTACTATAGGTGCTGAGTAGGGTAGGGCCGAAAAAGTATCTATGTTTTACTCGAGCGTTTTAAATATTAAGCCGATTTTAATGGTAACCAGGTAATAGGTCAGAAACAGAATGAGGAAACACTGACCCCGAAATCGTTTCATAATAAATAAAATAATAGGAACCCTATTATCCACCGTACCGTTCACATTTCCTCTTTAACTGTTGTTGTTATACAACAATAATAAAAGCAGTTTCAGGGAAAACGGCTAACTGTATACGAATATCATAATACCTCTCAATTTTATTATACGTTAGGAGAAATCGTAAAGTTGATCTCAGTTGTACTCGCTTGTTAGATAAAATAGTACAATTTTAATAAACACTTTTTTATTTAAAAGTTCTACAGAATTAAGCTGTAATTAGTAGCCATGGCTTAAATAGTAAAATACATACGAAAGATCTAAAAATGACGACACAACATGCAAATTGTGTTTTAACGTTTAAAGTGAATAAGTAAATCTAACAAAACAATAAAATTTACAATAAAAACGAAATGTTAGTGTTACAAAAGTATTATGTTTAAAAAGTGAAATATATTAAAATTATTTTTAACATGTAACATAACAAAACCACGGCTACTGCAAATACCCGAAACTGACCTGGTTAAAATAATATAAAAATGTAAATACAGAGTTTTAAACCGTAAAGTGTTGTTTAAACAGTCATTTCTTATTTTAATACTATTGTAATACAACATTAGCTTACAAGAGGTTTGAGATTTCTGACCCTGAATCCTTAATGGTCGGCATCGTTATGAAATTCACGAAGTTTATCAGACAAAGGTTAATTCCGGTTTTTGGGGTTTTCACATGGGACTTGGAAGTAAAGATGTCTAACTCACATACTCGGCTTATTTCTTGTATAAAATGTATTCATACACCATATTTAATTCTAATGAACTGTTGAATTTATACCTTTATTACGTGTAGAGTAAAACGAAAGCCATTGTAGAGTTATTTGATTAGAGCAGTTACATTTTACAGTCCTTTGTGCAGCGAATGATAAGAGAACCTAATTTTATTCATAGACATGATCGTTGGACTAACAGCTAAGACTGCAGAGGAATTGTTTTCTCTTTTTATATTACGGTCATTTTTAAATGATAAAATGAAACATTCTTTAAGATCTTTTATTTAGGGCCTAGATCATTTTTTTATTACTTTGTCAGTCAGTCTTGTTGTTGTAATGTTAGCAATGTTCGACTGAAAATCAACGGGTTGTCATCATTTTTCTAATCAATTTATATTATTCTCTGAAATCCGTTGGTCTTCGTCTGGAAATCTCGAGATTCCGTCCGGATCACGAACCACTGTTCACAGATGAACAGCGTCAAGTTGAATCGCGTTTCGGTTTCAGTCTGTGGATTTCAGAATTGCCAAAGTCAAAAATGGTCGAAAGTGCATCTTGACAACACGTTATAAGGCTATAGGACCTACCATGAAGTGAACATGGTGCTTGTCTGTCCTATCATAAATACACGTAGCTTGTTATATGTATATTTTGTAATATGTTTTAGTTCTTTGTCATTGAGCCATTTAAAGTAAGACTTAGTAACTCGAAGTTTTGTCGCCAACATTCCCAATCTTAAGTAAACATGTATTTACAAGAAGTCGTATAGTATAAATGTCGCGTCGGAGAGTGCCCAGCAGTCGGCACCTATGAATAATTCCATCGAGGACTAAATTAGATTTGCATACAACTATGATAGCATCGCAGCCACCTATTTCGATGCAAATGTAATATCTTTTAAAACGTGTCAAATTAGGTCACGGATACATAGAGTAACACAGTATACTGGTATATGCGTTGTAAACTTGGAACAAAACTAATATGGGGAAGAATCTACCAAACTGTCAACTTAGTTTATTAATTATACTAAAATATAATAGGGTGTGGTTTGCATTATATAAAACTTCTGGAGTTGGTGGTTTCCAAACAAAATAACGACCTGCCTTTCTTTGAAATCCCATGACGGAAACTGGCTTAAAACTTATTGATATTTTGCAGTTTCTTCTTCATCCTGAATGGTGCGAGTATTTTCTTTGAACAATTTCATTTAAATATCCAGATATAATTCATACACAATTAGGCAGGCAGGCACTTAAATACACTAAATTTTGTCGGGCTCGTTGGTCTAATGGTAGCGATGTACGGCTAACAATCAACGGGTCGTAGGTTCGAACCCCGACTTGTTTCTTATCAATTTATAATTTTTCCGATGTTTAACTTTTTCTTGAATTTCGTAAAGTGCCAGGAATATCGAACATTTTTTACCTAGACCAAGTCAAAATGTATTAAAGTAGGTAATGTGAATAAATGATTTTTGACTTTTGACCATCTTCCACAGATGAAATGGCAACTTTGAAAGCATCGCGGCTTTAAAAAGTTGAAGAAGAAGATGAAGTTGTGGCTGGGGTACTTCGCCTTCCATCAAGAGAACCCCACGCTTGTTATATAGTTTGTTTTTCTGAACATACCTCTAAGTTTTCGAATGACTTTCGCGGTAAGATAATTTGCTTTATTTACGACAAAATGCCGATATAAAACGCTTTCTATTCCGAAGATTGAGTCATAAAACGATCATAAAGTATTTATATTGTCATCTTGGAAATTCTAGCGATTCCTCTCAAGGTATTCTCGGACGCGATTCAGACCAAATACTGAACACGTAACTCTTGTTATTTAACGAATTCCTATAATATAACTAGCTTACTCCAAAATACCTTAGCTTTAGCTAAGAATCTATATTTTTTTTATAGTAACAGAGGTGTACCTATATTTGGTTGAAGTCGAAGGCTGTAAACAAAACTTAATACGTACATTTTGATAAAACTTATAATGAATAACATGTTCTTGACAGCGGCAATAATCGTTACATATGTGGCTGAAAAAAAGCCCCAAAAAATTACTTCAATTTCAGTCTCGCTCTGGTTCATACATTAATTACTTATTTATTAATACAATTTCTAATAGAAAAAGTTTATTTAATACAAAAGTGAAAATTTCATTTCCTTAACAGTTGCGTCGGTTTTCGCAAGTTACTTCTATTATTTCTTATTATAATAGAAATGTATTTTATATTTTAATACACTTACGTCGCGGTTTGCGTCAATGCGTGCGGTCATACAGTTTTTGGTACCACTCGTGCGGGTTTTTTCTTATATAGTGAATGTCAATTGTGTAAAATTAGGATATAAAGCCCGTGTATTAGAAGCTACGATAGTTATTGTTTTGTTATAGTTTTCGCGGGTGTGAAAATCACGTGAGCGCCCTTTATTCCAAGTACGACGCAGAAAGGTACGCCACGCTGTA